GTGAGGGATACATATTTGAGACCACTCATGTATAACCCTCACAGCCCACCCCAACTACCACCCCATTCTCCTGCTGCCCTTATAGCAAAGCTTCTCGAGACAGTTCTCTGTACTCGTGGTGTTCACGATCCTACCTTCTATTCTATATTAAATCCACTCCAGTAGCACGTTCTCTCGGTAACTCCACTAACACCGCTATGGTCAGGCACCTGCACCTTGCCAAGCCCAGCAGTCAGTCCTCGGGCCTCACCTGCTGGCGATCTTGCCCTCCTTAAGGCAAACAGTTTTACTTGTCTCCTGGTTCTCACGCTTCCTCACTGGCTAGTCCCAAATCCCCTTTCGGCTTGTAAATGCGCAGAGGCCCTGCACCCCGTCCTGAGGTCTATTCTCTGCCGTGGCTCTCTTTCATGCAGGCATGGCTCTAAGCGACACACAGGCACTGACGAATGTAGACCTCCAGCTCAGAACTCTCTCCTACAGTCACACGGTACTCCCGCCCTGCAGCCAGAGGCATCCATGCGGTGCTCTGATCCGGTGCCCAGCTCCCTCACCACTCTCTCCCTGGTCCACCCCGTCCCACCCACTGCCCTCCCTGCTGCCCCTCAAACACAGCAAGCTTCTCTCACGTCGCTGTTCCCTCTGCCTGGAAAACTGGCAGACGGCACACGGCCGGTTCCTCTGCTTCTTTCAGGTCTATCAAAAGCCACCTCCTTACATGGGTCTCTTATCAGAAAAATCACCCTCTGTCACTACCTTATCCTGCTTTAGTTTTCTTCATAACAGTTATCATAATTGGGCCTTATTTTCTTTATATGTTCCTTTATACATTACCTGAATATTCCTACCGGAATGCAAGTGCTATGAAGGCCAAGGCTTCGTTACATTCAGTGTTGTATCCCAAATGCCTAGAACCTGCTTGCACAGGAATAGGCATGCTCAATAATTAGTTGTGGATTAATTAGTAAATTAATTCAAATGCATTCCTAGGAAATTCAGGAGACTCCATGAAAACTTATTAATACCAAGAATTCCTGAAATGGCAAAAATATAGGGGTGCCTGGGTGGCTCAGTCTGCCTTAACCCAGGGTCCGAGGGTCCTGGGATCGAGCCCTTCATTGGGCTCCCTGGTTGGCGTGGAGTCAGCTTCTCCCTCTCTCTGCCCCTCACCCTGCTCGTGCTCCCTCTCTCAGATAAATAAAATCTTTAAAAAAATGGCAAAATATAAGATAAATAAGCAAAATTCTGTAAGTATTCCATTTATTGGTGAAAACAAATTAGAAAATAAAAGTATAAATGACATCTCATTCACAATAGCCATCAATCTGACAGTACATATAGCAATAATTTAATGTAAATACTAAGAAAACACGTAACTGAAAGTATTAAAGAAGATCTGAACAGACAGAGATTATCAACTTTATGGTCAGGAAAACAAAATACTATAACGTTACTACACCATCCCAAATTATTTTACAGTCTTAACGCAACTAACAAAATTACAATGGGATTTTATGTAAGAAGTTGAAGATATAATTATAAAGCTCTCTGGAAAAAGAAGTATGAATAAAGAGAATTTTTTAAAATTGCTATGTTAATAATGAAGGTTTACACCTACTCAGAAAGTAAATTGTTTTCTGGTGAGCAATATGGCAATAAATATTAAAGTTTTGAAATCTGGGATTTACGCCTAAATTTTATTCTAAGGAAATTAAGGATGTTCACAAAGCCACAAAGACTGATTTTTTTAAGATTTTATTTATTTGACAGAGAGAGAGACAGCGAGAGCAGGAACACAAGCAGGGGGAGTGGGAGAGGGAGAAGCAGGCTTCCTGCTGAGCGGGGAGCCCGATGCGGGACTCGATCCCAGGACCCTGGGATCATGCCCTGAGCTGAAGGCAGACGCTTAATGACTGAGCCACCCAGGTGCCCCAAGACTGCTTTTTATAAAACCAAAATAACCTATACAACTAAAATAATTGGTTTTATTAATTATGGTATGTCAATACAATCAAATACCATGCAGCTATTAAAATTGCAGCTGTAGAGTCTCGGAGCTTGGTTAAAACGGAGGGATTAATCACATCAACCTATCTATGTGCTCTTCCATAATAAGCCCACTAAACCGACAGTAAAGAAATTTAAGATATAAGTGCATGAGGGCAAAATAAATGGGAACGAGATCTTGAGTTTGAGATTTCAACAAATTCTGGAAAAGAGAGGTATCTGTCTTAAGGCAGATGAAGTTTGAGATAACCAAAGAGAAAGCAAGGTGGTCTGACGTACACAGAATCCCAGGGTGGCTCAGGCCTTGGAAGCACCAAGCACCACAGGAAGGGAGGCTGAAGCAGAGACGTGAAAGCAGGGTGACTGGCAGAGAGGATATACAGAGTGAATGGACTCCCCAGAGCCCTCCCCTCACCCAGACAGGGGGCCAGCAGCACCTTCTCCCAAACTCAGGGATGGAGGTTGGGGCCAGTTATGGGATGTGGGTACAATGCTACAGCACGGTGGGCGTGGCGCTGAAGGCAGGTGGAATAAGGGAAAGCGCACACGAGAACAGGAACCCTGATGCTCCTGCTCTAAGAAGGCCAGAAACCAGACACGTCCTTCTTGAGCAAGAGATCGGAGGATTCCTTCTGGAAAAAAAGAACAAACCAAAAAACCCCCCAAAAACACGAAATCCAGACACTAAGGAGAGAAAGGCAGTGGGCATAGCCATGGTGAAGAGTGAGCTTGGGTTCCAGAGGCAGACTGCCCGAGCTCCAGTCCCAGCTCCACCACTTACGCGCTTCACCTCTTTGGAAGCCTCTTAGTTTCCCCACAAGAAAATGGAGATCATGGTGCCTACCTCATGGTGCTTTGTGGGGGTCAAATATTTTAAAGCAAGTAGAAGTCCAATTATTCCCTCCTCCTTCCCTATAAGAGGATGACACACTCCACCCATGGCCACTGCCCTGTCTTTGCCTCTCTGCAGGTGGAGGAGACTTCCCTGCCCCACTGTCAGGTTGGTTTAGTTTTGGCCAACTGCATGTGAATAACGCTGAAGCACACCATATCGAAGCAGAAGCTTTTTAAAGCCATGCATGTTCTTGCAAGCTCTCTCCTTCTTTCCCCTCTGCCATGCGAAATGCATGTCCCAGAGAGCTGCTCCTTTAGCCTGGGTCCTAGAATGGGAAGCACGGAGAAGAGAGCCAGAGCGATTGACCTGCAGCCACCTTCAGCTGCCCACATGAAGAGAGAGAAAAAACTGTTTACTGTACAAAACCACTGAGATTTGGGGCTCGTTTGTTACTGTAAGAAGGTCAACAAACTACAAAGACAACTCTGTTTTTAAATTCTCAAAAGTGTATACTTTGGAAGTATCTGGGGAGTGAATCTTTAATGACATTCTTAATCCTAAGCATATTCGACTTGAATTCAAGCAATTGAGAATTGTACCATTTGTGATAACTAAATATCAGGGTTCTATGAACAGTTAATGAAGGAAGAGAACTTATATTAATTGATCACTGACTATTAATATGCTACACGATATTTCACTTAATCCTTGTAACAACCCTGTAGAATAAGTTATAATACTCACTTAAAAGGTAAGTATTTTCACCCCCCTAATAAGAAGAGATAGTTATACGTAAACAATGAATCATGGAACACTACATCAAAAACTAATGATGTAATGTAGTGATTAACATAACATAATAAAATTTAAAAAAAACTAATGACGTAATGTATGCTAACGTAACATAATAAATAAAATTTAAAAAAAAAAGGAGGAGATAGAGAAGGCTCAGGAAATTAAGTGATTTGGAATTAAGTCTACTCTCGAACTATTAGCACCATGCGCCTTCCAGTTCAGGTGAGTCTGTCTCCAAACCCATTCACTTCCCATCACAGCCTCGCTACCATTATACTATGTCTTATTCTCCACAACCCAACCCCCAGCCCTCAAGCACAATGCCTGGCATGTTATAAGTGTTCAAAAAAAAAAAAAAAAACTTCTCGAACTAAACTGCAAAGAAAACCAACCAAAAAACAAAAATACCTCATTTTCCACTATACAGTGTACACCAAAATAGTTAAAATATAAAAATTTTCAAACTATAGACAATTTAAAAGAAAACAGTATTAACTATGTCATACATGTGAACAGAGATGGAATTTATAAACTTAGAAGCAGCTGAAGAAATCAGAGTGACAGACCAATAGATATAAACAAATAAAGGAAATTTCTGTATGTCAAGTACCATCCTTCCCTCAGAGGACCAACATTAAACAGTAAACTACACGCCCCAGAAGAAGATTGCAGTAAATCACAATTAATGTACTGATTATGTAAAGCATTTGTACAAAAAAATTTTTTTAAAATAGGAAGATTTGAATCATTAAATAGGCAAAGAATATGAAATAAGTAGGAAACAAGGAAATACAAAACTGAATAAACATTTAAGAGATAATCCTTTAGGTATCAATAATATATAAAAATATCAATTTTTCAACAATTCAATGGAAAATTTATCTCTGAATAAGACTCTGAGTCGGGAAGGTAAAATACATATCTTTAGGTATTGCTGATATGAGTATTAGTTAGTGCAACTCTTTTAGAAAGTAACTGAAGGGGACGCCTGGGTGGTTCAGTCATTAAGTATCTGCCTTCGGTTTCAGGTCATGATCCCAGGGTACTGGGATCGAGCCCCACGTTGGGCTCCCTGCTCAGCAGAAGCCTGCTTCTCCCTTTCCCACTCCCCCTGCTTGTGTTATCAATTAGCTTTTGCTTACATCTTAAAAAATATACTGGAAAAGAACTATTCTTTTTTGCTAGGAAACTGATAAATATGTATCATTGGAACCAGTAATAAAAATTCAATTTTCCTTATTCATCAACACAAGCTCAGAAAATATTTAAATTAATAAAAATATTATTTCAGTACCAAGGGGCTATTTCCTAAATTCCAAGTCTGATAATACTCCTAAAATAAATAAGAAAAATATAAAAGTATTACCTTATTGATATCATCTGCTGTAAATCCACTTTGTTCTAAGAGTTCTCTGATTGCTTCTATACATTTATTAAAAAGTGAAGAACAGAGAAGTTCAAATCTTGCTCTGTATAACACACACACACACACACACACACACAGAAGAAAAGACATAGAGAAAAGGCTCAGTACAATTAAGACAATTTTTCTTGTGAAGAGTAATGCCAAAACCTAATGTGACAGTTCTCTTAAAAATAGGTTTATGATCAGAACAAGACATTTAACACCCAACAGTGTAACACCATGGGGGGGGAGGGGACATCTAAGTTATTCATCTATAAATATATGAAGACATTCAACATCAAATTCAGAAGATTCTTACCCATGGCTTACTTGTAAGCTTTCAAAAAACCTAAAAATAAATACACAGTGTATGGCATTCCCAACAAAGCCACAGATTCACATCAAACCATCATTTGGAAGCTTTTGCTATTTTTATATGTTAGAAGTTTAAAAAATTATTTCTTATTTTTTCTTTATAATCTGAGTCTATGCTGTACATAAGTTTAGTTCTCTTGCTCTGAGAAGCTTGAATGCTAGCATATAATTTTAAGAAAGATTTATGTTTATGAAAAATGTACTCCCTAATTTCATACTAAACTTAAATGCAGATGCCTGATTTTGAAATTTATTTGTGCTATCCATATATACCTAATAGTTGAAATCTTTGTAAAAAAGTCAAAATTTCCTTAATGAAAAATTACAAATTCTATTTCATTCCTAATAACTAAGCAATAATATGCAAGTACTTGGACAAACTCAGCACTAAGTTAGGAATTCTAGAAACAGAAAAAATACCCAACACTCTGCCCACAACCTTTCAATCTTTTGGATTATAGTTTGAAATCTCAGAAGAGCTAGTGCAGTGCTAATAGAATTTTCTGTGAGCCACCAGACTATTGAGCACTTGAATTGTGGCTAGTGCTACTGAGGAATTGAGTTTTTTATGTTATTTATTTCTAATCAATTATAATTTAATAGCCACAGGCGGCTAGTGGCTATTGAACTGGGCATGCAGAGCTTGAGTCTTAGGAAAGCCCAGGGAAACAAGGAAGCTAAACTATAAGGACCAAATGAAGAGTGAATTTAACCAAATATAGTGAAAAGAATCCTAAAAATAATACTGTAATTCCGGAAATTTTTACTATGTTTCCAAGTCTCCTGTTGGTTGTTGGGAGGTTTAAATAGTGAACCACTGGTAGCTATTATTACCATAAATAATATGCAAGGCAAAATGAGAGGGCAATGTCCTCCCTTTAGATTCTTTGGGTACACGTGTGATCACCTGTAACCAACATTTTGGATTATGTAAAAGATAAGGGAATTTAAAACAATTTTATGCACATTAAACCTGTGTTTACTAAATAAACACTATCAAAATTTAAAATGTTGACAATGGATGACAGAGGCAACAAAACCAAGACAGATATGAAACTAAGGTAGAATGTGACAGAGTATGAACTCTGGAGTCCCACTTGCGGGGCTGGAACCCCTGTCCATCGCTAAGATTATACATACTTACTGTGTAGCCCTGGGCAAGAATGACACTTCTCTGTTTCAGCTTCCTCATGTGTAAAATAAGGAAAACAACACTACTGACCTCATTGGGTTGTTATGGGGATCTGATGAGTTAATATAGATTACCACTTAGATTACAGCCTGCCACACTGTGTTAACTAGTTAGAGTAAGTACCACTAAAACACGTGGAAGCCCCACATAAACTTGACCAACAACAAGCCTTGCTTTTGAAGATCTAGGATGCCTTTTTCACACATGGCTCTCTGCAGCTGTCAATAACCGGGCAAGCAATCACAACTGATGTCAGCACTCTGGGGGCAGTTACTTAGTCTGACAAGAACCGGACCTCACAATAAAGACAGGAAAGCTCTCCTTGTACTGATGGCTAATAAATCTCAAAAGAACAAACAAAAAGCCCTAAGTGAGAACCTAAAAATATGAATGTATTTGGACTTTTTTAAGTTTCCTGCATTTCAGTTTTACCTGGACACGTTGCAGTCAAAATCTTGACCTTCATAGAGTGAGTCGAGGAAACAGTTGGCGCTTCCCAAGGTTGACAAAGAATGCTTTGCGATGTCAGCACTGCTCATCAACTTCATCATGGCTCGGGGGTTCCCTCTCACGTCATGTCTGAAGGATCTAAATCAAGAATATAGTCTTTGGAGCTTAACAATTCCTAGGCCATTTAGAATTTATAAAAACTCAAATCTGGATAATGCCTACTCGGATAATAAATCTCATAAATTAATATTAATATCAGATTTTAGTAATGAGCTTCAAACCCTCCAAAATTTCTGAAGAAATTCTTTGCAATTACAAGGGTCTCCTCAAGAAAAATGAGTAACAAATATTTTTGATACTTGGCATTGCTAAATTCTGTGACCATAATAACAGACTGTCCTTTAAGAAAGTAGAGTAGCTGACATCTTTCTGCAGATGCAACAAATGGAGGGTGAAGGAGATCTACGTGAACAGGTCATGTCTCCTCTCTCTCCCTTTTATAAGGGTAGCACAATCATGATTTAATGGTATAAAATGATCTGTCCAGCACTAAAAAACAAAACTAAAAGGGCTTCATTTTTGTTTTTTTTTAAAGATTTTATTTATTTATTTGACACAGAGAGATAGAGAGCACAAGCAGGGGGAGTGGGAGAGAGAGAAGTAGGCTTCCCACCAAGCAGGCAGCCTGACTTGGGGCTCAATCCCAGGACCCTGGGACCATGACCTGAACTGAAGGCAGATGCTTAACCGACTGAGCCACCCAGGCGCCCTGAAAAGGGCTTCTTTAAAGAAATTTGACACACACAAAATATGCAAAATCACAATTTCTCTATCTCCAAGACGAGTTAATTGTTAAAATTGCTTGGCTCTGTTTCTAAACATATCTAATAACTGGAATTGGTAGTCAAATTAACAATGTCTTATCCTTGAGTTGAAGCACCTTCATAACAAAAAACAGTACAGGTCTTTACGAAACAAGTGAGAACTTACTTCTTTTTCAAGACTTTTTTTACCCAGTCGGTTTAATCAAACTGATGAAAATACTGTTTTGGCCAAAAAAAAATTTTTTTTTAAGAGTGGCAATGTTCAAAATTTAACCTTTATCTATGTGACTCATGATTTTGAATAGAATAATTACACCTAGCAACAAAACTGAAATACTCCTTGTGATAGCAGATTAGTAACTAAATAAACACTCCGAAGACACTAATACACTAGGATGTGACTATAATGTAATCTTTATCAGATCAAAACTTTTAAAATTTGTTTAGAAGGTAGTGAGCCCTCAGTGCCTGTACACTCCTTTATCTAGACGTAACAGCAGCTCCTGAGGAATTAAGAATTCGAACTTGAGACCCAAGTTCACACAGTTCAATGTCTGGTGGGCCCTCACGCTAAGTGAAAAATCTGAGCACACTGCACCGCGCAACTTAGCGCGGTTTCCCTGCAAATGCTTGCAGAGGACACTGTAACTCTAGACATGAAAATGTCCAATGCACTGGAAAATAAAAACAAAAAGCATGTCCTCTTTCGAAGCAGGGCAATTTAAAATAGAAAAAAAAAACAAAAAACAAACCCTGAAGAGAAACTTCAATCGAAACATCATCAAGTCCATTAGTACTCACCTCTGAAACTCTGAAGCTAGATACTCTGCTAAGGTCTCTGTGAAGTGTGTACCTCCGATGTTATCATCAGTGTTTGTTGAAAGAACACGATATATTCCACTGTTCACTTCCATGACGCTGACAGATAAGGATGTTCCTCCAAGTTTAAACACCAAAATATTGCTTAAAAGAAAAATAACATGAATAAGTTATGAGGGAATCACACTGTTTTAAAGGTAGGTTGGACATTAGAAGCAACTTAGTTTAACCCCTAATCATAATAAGGAATCTGAAAATCTCACATGAGTCAACTTAGGTGTCCATGGTCATCACTTAGTGCTGAATTAAGCCTAGAACCCAGATCCTCTGATTCAAAGTCAAAGTTTGTTTTAACTTAGTTGTACTGGTAAAACTGGATTTTTCTAAGCAGACTTCAAGACATTAACTTTTCTTTTCTTTTTTAATTCCAGTATAATTAACATACAGTGCAAGACACTAACCTTTCCAAGTAGAGATTGTGATTATAGCGAATCATAAGAGAATTAAACATAGAAATTTTATGTGCTAATATTAACCAAGTACTACAATAACACATTCTATAAAAATCAAATATATGCAAAACTAGAAGATAATTTCTGATTTCTACATTTATCTAGTTCACCTAAAACTGATTTCCTACTGATTTAAACATACTAGTTTTTTTTAGCTGTGAGATATGAACAAGGGAAACAACTGAAATAACACATCTGTATTAATCTCCCCAAAGGTGCCTGTGTCAGCTCTATTAAGACAAGTTTTGACAACTAAATTAGGAGTATGTCTTACTATTTCATTATCAAAAGATGTCTTAAATCCTATGCTGGACTTTCCCCCATCTCCTGCCAAGAAAAATGTATATAAAAGTACTGTTTCTAAACATGTCTAATAACCGGAATTGATAGAAAAATTAACAGTGCCCTAGTCTGAGCTAGAATTTGGTCAGGCTTGTAAATTTCAAATCTTCCTCCAATAAGGAAAGGTAACATGAGTGATAAGAGAAGGACAGGAAAGCTCAATCTTCCCTCTCCTTAGGTCCTTTCTCTGACCTCCCAGGATGTCTTTCTCATCTATTTGAAAATCTCCAGGTGAGTTTCAGCATCTTTTTATTCATAAAGGCCTTATATAACAATCCCTACTGATGTAAGTGTGGTAATCTACAATGTTTTCTGCACCAAAAACCTTAAAGCTGCAAATATGGTTTTTACCTTTTTCCAGTGGGGCAGTCTTGTCCAATTCCATAAGCCAGAAGAGCTGCAGATGGTTCATGGATTAACCTCAAAACATTAAACCCAGCAGCTCTGGCTGCTTCCCTGTGGATGATTTGCTTTCAATGAATTTAATATCACAACATGTTCAAGCATTTTCTTCACAAAGAAAATAACATGTGCATATACTAAGTAAGGAAAAGGAAAGCTCTCAAAAATGCCCGTGCTTATAAACTTTAGAAAGATATTAAAACAAATTTATAATACATTTTGGAACTTTCCGGTTTCTTTAACTCAGGGTCACAGTTTTAACATCCCACAAGTGCAAGTAAATAATGCAATTACCTGTCCCAGAAACAATTCAGATACTTGCCAAAGTCCCATATGAAACTCTACCCTCAAGGCAAAGGCATGCATGCTTGAGAATTACATTTGCATAATGACCCATAAAAACTAAACCCAACTTTCTGTTTAGATGTGAAGATCTAAGGTGAAGAAATTATTGAAAATATTTTCATTGCAAAAAACTGTATATTTTTATATAATTCCCACATAAACCTTGGTTGCATGAAACTAAGGCAAAGCAATCTATAAACATCAACTTAACCTGGTAATTAAAAACATTTCCAATCGAAACAGCTAATAAGGTACATATAATTTTATGTTCTCTTCGCATTTCATAAAAGACAGGAAACATTAATGATCATTACTAGACTTTTTTCCACACTACTTACATATATAAATATATACATCTGTTTACAAATACAACTTTATTGCTGAAGGTATCTTCAAATACAATTTTACCTTTTACTACATTATAATATTATGAAATCTGTATTTCCTTTAAGCAAATAAGATAAACTTACCCAAGAGCATTTTTTTGCTTTTCTCCAAAATCAAATGGAACAGTAATAACTACATCATTTGCATCTGAGCCCAATACAGAATGTGCTGTTTCTGTGTATGAAAAAATATAAATTCCAATGACAAAAAAAAATTGATATTTTGCAGTTTATTAATTTGTGCCAGTGATCTCACTGTAAAGATTTTCCAGTTTACCTGACTGCCCACCCCACTCATTTTCTTCTCTGGCTCTCTTAAATCATGCAGAACTTTTTGTGATTTAGAAGTTTGTGGACATGGAACTAGGTACTTTCCAAAAAGCCTGGCTCTTAGGCTTCAAAACTTCAACTATCTCCCAAATCAGACTGGTTCCATTAAGAATGAGCTTCTAATGCAACAATGTGAAGATAAGAAGCATGTTAGTTCAGCACATTAAAAGGCTGCCTTCCATCCCACAAATTCATAACATAATTCCAGAGCTGAAGTAAGCCTTATAGATAACCTACTCCAGAATTTCCCAAACTGTTCCACAGTATGCCACTCAGCTTCGAGCCTTCATCGGAAGTGGTGATAAGCCAAACCTGCTTAATCTGCCTAAATAACCGTTCGAAGAGCACTGCTAATCTTGAGCAGATAGATAAAATATTCACTCTTCACCAAACTTATTTGGCCACTTCAATTTGAGAAGTTGTGAAAATGCTAACCTGGCCCAACTCATTAACGTTCCTTCTAAGGAAACCGAAGTCAGGGAAGGAAGTCAGTTAATCAAGGTCACGCAGCCGGGTAGTGGCCCAGTCAGGTCTAGTATTAGGTCTCCTTCATCTGCTTGATCACCCTGCTTCTCTCCAGATCAAGAAATACCTCTTTTTTTTTTTAAAAGATTTTATTTATTTATTTATTTGAGAGAGAGAGAGAGAGAGAAACAGCATGAGAGGCGAAAGGGTCAGAGGGAGAAGCAGGCTCCCCCCTGAGCCAGGAGCCCGATGTGGGACTCGATCCCAGGATTCCGGGATCATGACCTGAGCCAAAGGCAGTCACTTAACTGACTGAGCCACCCAGGTATCCTCACCTCTAACTTTCTTTTAAGGTCAATTTTTAAAAGATCTTTTGCTCAATACCTTTCATCTTACTAAATATCAGTCTGGCAACATCTTCTGGGTTAACAAACTTTGTTCCTTCTCCAGTATCTACTTCATATCGTAACTTTCCATTTTTTTCAATGACCTATAAAGGAAATTTTAAGTGTGTTAAATGAGGAATAATTTTAATAAAAATACAAAGTTTCAAAATAATATAATAGGTTATGACCTTGGCAATTACTTTGTGTAATGAAGAGGTAGTAATAGAATCATACTCACTAAACATTTACTTTCCGTGATGTATTTCTGAGCCTGTGGATCATCAGAGCTGTCCATGAAGATAAAGATAGTTAAATATTAAAATCAGTATTGTTGATGTGTAATATTTAAAGACTATATTTTTCAATACCACTAAACAAATATAAAAATACAATTATTAAGTTGCTTAATATTAATAAATCATGATATAGAGGCTAGAATTAAATGGATACAGTATTTACAATGGTCATAGTGATTCTATTAAAGTGTTAATCTTCACATTTGAAAAGTAAACAGCTCTTATTTGTTCTGACCTTGCTATTAAGAGATGCCATACATCTGGGGGGTAATTTTTCCTAGTATCAGTGATTTTATGTCATGTACTCTCTCATCTATGATCTTGAAAACCCAATCACTGAGATGAAAAGGGCAAAAAAAGATTCCAAAGTAAGGGCAAACCAGAATACCTAACACCATCTTTGTTTCTTGGCTTCTGAACATGAATCAACACCCAAAGTCAAAAAAACTGAGAAGTACGTATGTTATATATGGAAAGGTGCAATATACTGCAGATCGATGGATCTATAATGTCCTGTATCAAAGTAAGTAGTAAATAAATGTGTATGGCAATGAAAAAATTAACAATGGGTGTAATGTTGCTCAAAATACCAATTTGTGCAGACTACAAAATGTTATCTATTATTACCTCACTTAATCTTCACAACAGCTAAGTGGGGTTAATTTGGCAGGTTATTATTTTAGAGATAAGGGGTTCACAGAGAATCAATGATTTAGAAGCTAACAAGGGGCAGGGTCAGTACCCAGTCTTCTCTAGCAGGGTAGTGTTTTTTGCATTTTACCAGCTGCCTCCCAGTAAGAAGGTAAATGACTAAAATACTTCTGCCCCCTTGAGCAGTGATAGGAGTCTTTGATCCTTGGCTTAATTTCATCTAGAAATTAAAGTAAACCCTTCTGGTCAACTCTTCTTCCAAGGGGCCATAGCCATTCCATTCAGAGATCAGTTTTAATAAGAGGAGTTGAAAATTAATAGTGACTATCTGCTGCAGTTACTGAACATCTGAGGACCCTAACCTGTGTAAATAAGAGGAAGACAAAAGGGGTTTAAGATGGACTAATGCGGCTCAGAAATGTCTAGAACACTTGCAGATTCCTCATACTTCCTCCTCCATTACCTGAAAATTGATAGGCAAACAGGTAAGGAGCTTGCCCAAAGTCACATGGTTAATTCAGGGCAGAATGGACTGGAATCCAGATCTTTAATACAAAGTGCAATATTCTTTTGACCTAAGCCTTCCCCCCTTCCTTCCTGTCTCTAAATCCAATCTTTAGACTATATCCTGGACAACTATTTTAAGAATAAGAAAAAAGATGAAGTCTGCCCATAGTAATTTTTTTGCACCAATATAATTTCAGCATGACACTTATCAGTTGTTTTCTTCAGAACAGAATTTTAGTCAACCAAGACAATTTACCCTGTTATCTACAAACATCTGTGAGCTATCTAAGACCAGATAATTTGCCAGGAAAGACTATATTAGGGAATTTAAAGAACTTCTAGAAATGGAAAATTATTTCTAAACTGCCCTGCAAAGGGGGCCCTCATGTGAGGACAGGAAGCACACAAAGCTCTTAGGGCCATACACAGGCAGGACCCTGGAGATTAGCTAGTATAGAAAAAGCAAGCAGAGTGTGGAGGTGACGACAAATGGTCATGGATATCGCCAGAAAGCAGTGGACTGACCCACAAGTACATACAAGTAAAAACTTTATTTGTTCACACCAGAATTAAATCACGTAACAGAAACACAAAGGACGGTGGGAAGTTGGCATACACAGCACCTCATTTACATCATGGTCTTTAGGAGGCAGAGTGTTAATCCCACCACTATATCACCTCTACAAGCAACACCACTTTCTTTTTCTCATCCTTCCTTAAATGTCTCTTGCACTGACAGCAGGCTGTGGGACCTGGCACACGGCAGCACTAATGTGCCCCAGGGTCTTCTTCCCTGTTACTGTCACAACATATCGCCTTCTGTGTCTGAAAGCGTCTCTACATTCATCTGTTCATTTGGCCCTCACAACATTCCTGTGAGGTAGGTAGGAGCATTATTTATTTCTCCCTCTGTAGGTAAGGAACCTGAGTCACAATGGTAAAATGACCTGCCAAAGGACAGGCAGGTATGAATGGCCGGGCAGGTACGAATGGCTGGGCCTAGAGCTTAGGCAGGATTTCTGAGCTTGTTCTCACTCACATGGCCTCCTCTTAACAATATTTCACCCCTTTATCTGTCTATTTCATTAGAAACTTTCCCTTTAATTTTATTCTCACATTAAGGTTATTTCGCCCAAAAGATTTTCACAACACTATCTTCCGAGTTTAACTCCACTTTTATTCTTTTAGCACTTCTCTTATCTCAAATAATCCCTGCCCATGTACTTTGCTACCATTAATAGAATATAGTACAGGTCTAACTCTCCTTCAAGTACTTCCCTGTTTTTCCAGAAAGTCTACGTATCCGCATTAGTGTTATCCAGTTATAAATGACACAGATCCCTCCATATAAAGGCCTAAAGCAACTGAGAAAATGCACGTATATAGATATATATCCATTTCACTGCCTTAATATATGCTTCTTTAAAGCAAGGAACCTATGCATGGTGTGGTGCTTATTTAAGCTAAGTATATTAATAAATATTAACATCACAGAATGCTTCCTTAAAATACAATTGTTACCACTAATTCAAACATACAGTACGTGGTTGTGACTGAAAACATTGCAATTAAAATTTCACTTTGCCTTTTGTTATGCCACTTATCACAGAATTTTTTTTTAGAACTGGAAGGTATTAGAAAAGTCATCTAGTACAAATCTCTCATTTTAAAGAAATTGAGGCACAAAAAGGGCAAGTCATCTGCCCGACGTAACAAACTGCGACAGGGTTAGAACCCAGTTCTAACTGGAGTCCAGTGTGTTCTACCACACCAGCTGCTTTCTACATTCATCACCTGTTCATCAGAGCAGCTTGTGCGCTTGCCATCTATTTATGGTTCCAGGTGTATTCCCACTGGTGTTCTGACCACTTCTCTACCTATCTGTATTGCCGGCTTTTAGGTAAGCACCCAAGCCTACAAAAGGGGGTAAAACAAAATCTCTTCAAACATGCCTGCACTTGTTTTACTTTTTATTTTTTAGCCTGTAGACTGGAGGAAAGCCTTTTAAATTCCAAGGCTCCTATTTGTATTTCCTGAAAGTACTAAGTAAACCACTTAAAAGCTTTAAGTTAGTTAAATGATGGCCAGTAATGGCATTCCTTCTAAAGTAAATTGGAAGTATGGCTCAACACCTTCGTATCTCCCAGAGGAAGTGTGTATGTTTTGGGGGGGAAAGGGGTATGTTTGTTGAGGGCTTTGTGCTTAAAAGGAGTTATCTACTGCAGGCCATCTTTATCACACCATCCTCAATCGTTCCCAAAGCCGTCCTCTCCCGCCATATGCCATTAACAAGGTGAACGTCTGTCTACAGAGTATGAGAAAAAGTGACTTCGGAAAGTTCCCTAGAAGGAAAGTTTTCTAGGGTTTGCCTTCTGTAACATACGAGACAGGAAAAAAAAGGCTAAAAGAAAAGAATGAAAGTAGCTAAAAGCATTTGGAAAACAGATTCTAAATCGTTTCCATGTGTTGTTCAAATGACACCTGACCTAAAGATACGTAATTATGCATATAAAGGGACCCAAATGATACGGAATGCAAAGAATTTACTTACATTTAACATTTTATAAAACAGCCAATACCTCATTATATTGAAGATTATCAATATGAATCATAACACAACCGTGGCTCCCTGTCCGTTCTGAATCATATCCTTATAGTGATAAGACACTAAGGACTAGTAAAATGGAGGGAATGACGGTTTGACCATTGAGAGCTTACTAGTAGGTATGTCACAGACACAGCAGTGAAAACATAAGAGATAAAAGTACAAATCCATGGATCTATATTAGTCTAATGAGTTATATAGAGGAATTAAAAAAATGAAGATCTTACAAGAAGCAGTCAGGTTAAACTAGTGAAGATTCAAGCAATGAGGTCATGGTATACACCATAATTCTATATCTTGTCAACTAATGTGCCTCACCCTAGCCTTACCTCGGCCAAGGTCGTATACATTAATAACTTACACAGGTATAGTGTGTAGTGCTTTTAAACTTCTAAACCCTTTCACATCTATTAGCCATTTGATCCTCACAACAACCCTGTGAGGTAGGCAGGTCAGGAGTTATTACCTAGCCCCCATTTTACAGATGAGGAAACTGGTGTAGAGGGAAACTCAACTGCCTCGCTTCAGTGGGAAAGCCACAGCTCACGAGCTCTCTGGACTCAGCTCCATCTGTTTTCTATTAGACCACTCCTCACACATCCCAGAGGTCTTTCCATTAGTGGAGAAGCTTGGGAAAAGCAACTAGCACGGATCTTCTGCCACTCTGCGTATAACAGTTCATCCGCTCTTTTTTCCCGAAGGACCTGTAAAAGGAGCCAGGGTGCCAAAAGGCAGGTGTTGGAACTGGGCTTCTACCAGTTTAGGAAGGAGACTCTTTTGTAATCAATTTCTAACTTTTGGTATTTGAAATTAGCCTCTGAAGCAATTTTTCAAGCCCTAGCTGAAAAGCACCGGTGGCCTCTTCGACTGCTGTTGCCAAGCGTCTGACTGCGATCACAGCATCCCTGCGGAGCTCGTTGGCAGTGTCTTGCTGAGCACTGGCCTCCTCACCAATAGCAATCAGCCTGTCCAATTTTTCTTCCTCACGCTTTGAAAGTTCTCGTGCCAACCTCCTGTTTTCTGCCAACTCAGCTGCAATAGTCCTGGCCACTGACCGCCTTCTTCGCCTTGCCCACCTTGGAGGGGGCTCACTGGTCAAAGGCCTATCCCCACCAGAAACAAAAGGAACTCTGGAGGAGACGACCGGAGGCCGCTGTGTGGAGGCCACCCCAGGAGTGTTTCGGCTGGTACTGGCGCAGGGACTGGGCTCACCGGACACAGCCAGTCTGGTCATGGGGCTGCTCTGACAGGGAGCAACTGCACCTCTGAAAAGGTGGTGGGAACTGCTGTAGCTGGGGGTCCCTTGAGAGCACCCTGAAAAACAAAGCAACAATGTTGCAAAGAGGACATTCCTGCCAAGGGAATGCTTGGAGCCAGCAGCGGAGCTGAGAGACAATCACAAAATTCTGGTAGTTCCTGGAAAGGCCTCTTTCCACAAGGGGCTGGGAAGATTTCAATTCCTTGATCTGGACACTTCGGCCGACTGTAATCTTACCTCCAAAACCTCCCCGCTGCCTTCCTGAACCCGTTTCCATGTGGCCAACCAACCCAATCTCTATTCACACATTCCTAAGTACCCACTAAAAATAATGCCAAAATGAGTTTGGTTCTAAAGAGTACTTCTTGGGGTGCCTGGGTGGCTCAGTTGTTAAACGTCTGCCTTCGGCTCAGATCATGATCCCAGGGTCGGGCTCCCAGCTCGGCGGGAAGCCTGCTTCTCCCTCTCCCACTCCCCCTGCTTGTGTTCCTGCTCTCTGCTATCTCCCTCTCTGTCAAAAAAAAAAAAAAAAAACTTAAAAAAAAAAAAGAGTACGTCTTCCACATTTAAGAAGTTCTAATACCTTATATACCTATGGTCATTGCTTTTGAAGACCTGGAGCTCTTTATCTTAGCAGCAGGCTCAGAAAACAGAGGGCATGTGTCAAAAAAAAAAAAAAAAAACTTAAAAAAAAAAAAGAGTACGTCTTCCACATTTAAGAAGTTCTAATACCTTATATACCTATGGTCATTGCTTTTGAAGACCTGGAGCTCTTTATCTTAGCAGCAGGCTCAGAAAACAGAGGGCATGGGGCAGAAACAGAGACAATGTTGAAGAGAACACCATCCAAACACATACTGCTGTTTAGAACCAAGTGACTCTGGCACCCCAGTCCTTCACATGCTTGGGAGTTACCTGCACCCGAGGATTCATCCCAGGAGTCCTCAAGGTCACTGGTTTCTCGCATCTGGTCACTGATTCTCAGTTGACAATCCTCATCTGATTCCTTAACTGTTTTCGAGACAGGCTGATGGTGTGCTGCCTGAGTCCTGTTTGCTCTGAGAATGCTGGCTCCCCCTTCCCCTGGGGTGTCAGAGACCACTAAGTTCTGATCACAGTGCTTGGCCCAAGCAGCATCCTCCATTAAGTTGTCTGGGTCAGTCACTACCTGATTTCGGAGAAGCTGATCCAACGTATCATAAAATGGACAGTGCGGTGGATCACCCATACTCGTGGCATGGGCAACATACGCCTTTAAATATAACGCCTTCAGAACTTTAAACTTGGAGCGGCACTGACGTTCGGTGCGGCGGAAGCCTTCCTGCTGCATTCGCTTAGACACAGCCTGATAGACATCTGCATTATGATGCACAGTCTGGAGGCGCTGGATATACTCCGCCTCGCCTAGTATGGAGAGAAGAGTTCGAGTCTCCTGTCTGGACCACCGGATGCCCGCACTGCTATTGGAACTGGCCATAGTGGACTGGGAAGGAAGGCTAGCTGCAGGAAGCTCCTGGGCAGCAAGGTGCAAGTCTGAAGGTGTGGGGAGGCTCTGTGTGCTCTCAGTATACTTCCAGGAGCCAGCCGATTCTTCCCTCTCGGGGCTAATTGTTGAGAAGCCAGGTCCAAGGACCGCATTTCTGGCTGGAAGGCCACAGGGGAATGAGAGTTACAGGGAGGGTGTAAGGGTAATTGTGGCAGCAAGTTAAGTCATGCTACCTGTGAGTAGGATGCCAAGACTAAGAAAGCCCAACCGTGAGAGTTCGCCCAGGATAGGTACTGGACCAAGGGCTCAAAAGGGCCTTACTGGCTCAGTAAAAGGGGACTGGCTCCTCCACAAAAGAGAGAGTGCTTCTGAGGCCAAGATCTGGTACAACTGTATCTGTAAAAATCACCATTGTCTCGTAAGTAGACTGAGGGGGGAATATCTGGGCCATGAGACAGCTCACTCTAGACAAGTGCCGGCAGGACCATGGGAACAGCAGGTCTGAAGAGCACTCATCCTTTACCAGCCTTGGCCTCAGCAGCTTGCTGCGGCTACATATTACCATCTGACTGCCACCACTGCTCTCTGTTAAAAGGTAACTTTTGGGGCCAGAAAAGTAAGCTTAAGTTGTTCCTGATAATACAAAGATTTTGTATGATATGGCAGAACACAACCATATCATCACTCTGATCGTCTGCCCTAAAATAGCAACGTAAAACAGGGCTCCCAGGAGATAGATCTATGGCAGTGTTCTGTATTTTGATTCTATCAATGTCAGTATCCTGGTTGTGATACTGTACTCTCTAGTTTCGCAAGATGTTACCATCCAGAGGTGGTAAATCCAGTAGTATATTGGATCTCTCTGTATTATTTCTTACAACAGTATGTAAATTTACACTGATTCCAAAATAAAAAGTTTAACTGAAAAAACCCTATATTATTGGCCACTTATAGTGAATATAGTTCAAAGCCCATCTAGAGCTCCCTGCTTTATTAGAGATGTTATAACTTACAAATTTTTGACACCAACTAATTTATTTTCAATATGCTCAATACTCAGTTTGTCAATGCATAAATGGATAGGGGAGTATATTTATCATCACAAAAATTTAAATTCTCTCCAAAATACTATCATTTTTGACTTAGTGCATAAATACCCTAAGGAAAAAAAATAAATCAAGTTCAGTTTAACTAAATACAGGTAAGGGATAATAAAAAATATATGTATGTATGAAAGAAATAAATATTAGATTTAATCCATAACCCCCAAATCCTAAGATCAACATGGGACATTTACACATAAATTCTCAACTGAACAAAGCAGAAAGGGAAGAACCTGGGGCTAAAGGTTAGAAGTCCTGAACTATAGTCCTATCTAGCTCGCCCCAACTAACTGAGCAATTCCGTAACTTCTATGTGCCTCAATTCGCTCATCTACAAATGGGGAGGAATAAAACCTGCCCTACCAATCTTTTAGGGATTTGAGGGGATTAAATAATAGATGTGAAAGCACTTTGAAAATTTAAAAACACTGTATCAAGTATTACTACTCCAGTGAAAATGAAAACCTCTAATTATTATGGTAATCTATAATTTGAGGAGACAGAAGTCTGGAGAAGGAAGCCTCTTTAATCTTTTAATTAAAGTTACAACAGATGATTAACCTGATTCTTACTTAAGATGTTAATTAAGCTGTTTCTCTAATGATTAAATTTGTAAGCCAACTGGAAAAGTTAGTTCCCAGAAAGTGTCACAAAAGGACCTGAGGAAGAAAATCACTAGCTTCTATATAAATTATGACCAACTGTAGCAGATTTTGCAAAATTCAAGTACAGTGCAGAAAAATCTTCAACTTCCCACAAAATCTTCAAGTTCCCTGTCATATAAAAAGGTGAAAAGTCCAAATTACCACTTCCAAATGAAACATTATCAAACTATATGAATGTTGGCATTTATCAATAAAAACAGACCTCTGAGCAAAAAACAAATTATCTGAGTGAATCCCATCCTTGAAAAGATACAACACTAATCATCAAAAGAAAGAGCCTACTGGGATAATCTCTGAAATGATTCAATCATAAAAAGCAACAACAACAAAAAAACGAAACTAATCTTTCTAGCTTCATTTCACATTATGCTTAGAATGTATGAACACACTTTATTTCCATATGTAGAAGTATTATTTTATTCCATACCTTCTGCCAAGGATCTGCTTTACTTTCATTACTGTATTTGAAATATTTCTTATTCTACTTTGTTTTGCTGCCAATCCAACAACCTGAAAAAGAGCAGCATATTACAATGCATGTAATTTTACTTATTTCAAAATATAAAAATGAGGGGAATAGTACCTCTTCATTTTCTGTGTAAGCAACAACAGCTGGAGTAACTCTGTCACCTGCATCATTTGCAACCACATCAGCCCGGCCATCCTGGAAAAAAAATACACAACTATATTAGATCTCTGAGAAAAAAAAAAAAAAAATATATATATATATACACACACACACACACAAACACACACACAAACATATAGTCTCATCAGACATATGTGGGCCAGTGTTACCTTGCCATACCTCTAAGAAAACCACTGTATCAGTATTTTAAACTTGCAGATTTAATTGCCATTATTGGCAATTAATTGCCTAGGTTTTATATAAGGTCAACAATCCACAAACTGGATTTTTTTCAATCTGCTCTGCATAGTCAATAATTGGATCAAACATAAAAACCTTCCTGTATACAATAATAAGACTTATTACACCACCCTTTCCAGTTTTCTTTCTTCCCTGACAAATACATCTTTCTTTCTTCCTTTTTCTACGTATGATGAAGTAGCATTAAATCCCTTCGGTTTTTCCTTCCAAATCACTTGACATTTAAATGCAAGACTAATAACAGGGGAGTTCATTATTATTGTTCCTTTCGCCTCCCTCCTGATGAGAAGCAGACTACAATTCCTTGTTAAGCTCTTGCATTCAAGAAAGGTCAAGTCAGTAAGAGCGTGCACCACCAACTCGCTTCACGCGCTTCGCGGGATTAACAACTCCAGTTCCAGATCTCGACCACCCGGTCCTTTCCTGGCAAACATTCAAAAACCTCCGGGTCGGGATGTTCAGGCCCACAATCCCCGCCTCCAGCGGCCCTGCCGTTCCCGGGGACCGCCCCCTCCGGGCGTCCAGCGCGCACGAGGTCCTCGAGACCCCTCCGGGCCTCCTGTAGCTCTAACGTGCCCGAGACCTCCCAGACCTCCTGCTGCCCTGACGTCCCCCGGACCGCCCCTCTTCGGGCGTCCAGCGCCCACGAGGTCCTCGACACCTCTCAGGGCCTCCTGCGGCCCTGATGTCCCCGAGACCCTCCAGGCCTCCTGCTGCCCTGACGTCCCCGGACCCGCCCGACTCCGAGCCTCCAGTGCCCACGACATCCCCAAGATCCCTCTGGGCCTCCACAGGCCCTGACGTCCCCAGGACCGCCCCCCTCCAGGTCCCCTGCGGCCTGGACGTTCCCGGACCCCGCCGGCCCAGGTCGTCACGACCCTCCGCCCGAGCACAGCAGGCTTTCCGGAGGAACTCCGGAGGACCAGGCCGGGTCCTCCCGGCCCTTCGCCTCCAAACTTCCCCGCAATAATGCCTTTCCGCACGACATTCCTAGGCCGGCGACAAGCGTGTTCACAATCCCATAGGAGACCAAAGGACTTGGCCCCGCACCCGGAGAACTGGGGGGTCATCAGCCCGGAGCCCAGCTCCCCCAGTCTCTCACCTTATAGACGGCCACACAGGCTGATGTGCAGCCAAGGTGAACTCCGATGGCCGCCATGAGGCGGCAGAAAAGGCGGCAGCAGTAACGAGTGGTCCCCCTGTGGCAAGAGCTTCGGGCCTCGGAACAGCCCCATCAGGCACCGCGGAAACTTCACGTTCCCGCCCGCCCACTGCGTCCGGTCCATCCGCCGCGGCCTCCCGCGTCGCCACCAATCAGCATGAAGGTTGCCAGTCCTCTCGGACTGCCGGCGAATAGCTTTAGTGCGTCCTCCCACCCCGCCCTGCCGGCACGGCAGCGCGTGTGCGAGAGTACGCACGCGCCAGTCGGGGAGGGCCTGGAAGGGATTTCTTCGTCCCGCCCCCTTCTAGTTCCTTACGTAAAAGCCAATGGAAACTCATGATTGAATTGCGTCATTTGGCTTAGCAACTCCCGGCAGATTTTTCCCAGCCACTCGCTCGGCTACTCCGCGTCCGGTAACAGCCCCGGGCGGTAGCACCGTGGCTGTCGGTGGACGCGGGTGGCGAGGCGTTTGGAGCGGCTGGTTTAGCATGTGGTGCACGGGCCCAGCCGCAGTGGTGGCCTTTTGTGCCGGGCTTTGGGTCTCTAACTCGGGGCCAGCGCTGGGCCAGGAGGCCGGGGAACGGCCAGGGGCCGACTGTGAAGGTGAGCGGTGTGAGGCCTGCTTGCTTGGCGATGGTACCGCGCTGCCCCGCAGCTGTTGTCGGATTTGGCTTCCCCCGGCCCTGGCTATAAATAACATTTAACTCAGGAAATGCAGGTCCCGGTTCCTGGCTTCCCATCGCCTTCGCCCAAGCCTAGGCAAAAGTTCGATCCGGGCCCAGTGACACCTTGAGGCCGCGTTCTGGTCTTGGGCTATTTGGGATTTGGATTAGATGTTGTGTAGACGGAACTAGCTTCAGAAGACCGTGGCGCTGCATCCATGCTGCTGCTGCTGCTGATGGGCGAGTCTGGCCGCTCCGTGGCCAGGCGAGGTCTTTCAAATTTAAATTTGTTTGACTCCCAAAAGAAAAATAAAACAAGTTGTCTGTAATTGAGTTGAGGTGGCTTAAACCAGAGAACAAAAGTAACGTTTGTTAGGACTTACAGAGTAAAGTTGATTTACAGAGGAGTACATTCACTCTTTAGGAGGAATACCCAGGAATGATTCCTCTTCTGTTCGCAGAACCTAAGCTAGGCACCTGCAATCAGAACACGTGGGGCTAGGTTCCGCCAACCCTTCTGCTCTGAGTCCCCATGCCCCTTCCTTGCAAAATCTGCGTGATAGTACCTACTTGAGAGGGTTGTTAACAAGATTAAGGAAGATAATTGGCTACGCTAGCCCCTTCCTCCTGGACTGCTGTAACAAACAATTTTCACTGACCAAAATAATTTATATTAAGTGTATCTCCTCCTCGCCCTTCTGTGACCTTGGGACTCTATTCCTACTTAACAGGAAACTAGATTCACGGTGTACATTGAATAACTGGATGAGTGTAGTTTGTATAACAACTTAATGAAGTGTTAAGAATTGGCGTCCAGTTTTCTACCTACCCTGCGGTAATTAAACTTCTCTCCAGAAATTTAAAATATCTACACAATGTCATTTTTAAACTTTCTATAGATATATTTGTTCAGCTAAGTTATAATTTTGTTTAAAGAATCTTATAACTGCATCCTATGCATTTAAAGCAGAATTTGTGAGACAAACAATTGATCTGATTACTCATTAGTAATTTAATTTCTGGAGCGTTTACCTGAAAACATTTCAGAAAAGCCAGAGCCCCTGGATTAGTTAAATGTGAAGCGTATGCCATCTTTCCTAGATTTATTACAGCATATCGTGATTATTGCGTGTTGGACTAGACCTCATTTTCTACGGTCCGCCTCCTCTTGCTCACTCTGCTTCCATAACTCTGGTGCCCTGACTGTTTTTTGGACCTGCCAAGGACACTCCTGCATTAGAACCTTTGCACTTCTCCCTTTGCCTGGAGAGTTCTACCCCAAGTAGTCCACTTAAGGTTTTCTCTCCCTTTCTTAAGGTTGCTGCTCAAATACCACTTTATCCAAGAGGTTTTCCTTGACCACTCCATTTAGAATAGTACTACTTACCTTGTCACTCTCTACCCCCATTACCTGTTTCTTTTTCTTCACGGCCACAAGATACTTTTATTTATTCCCTAGCATGTAATCCTTGAGGGTATGGATTTTGTTTTTCAACCACCTAGAACACTGGTACTTACTAATTGCTTAGTGAATGTTAAAAATACAAATGACAGGCTCTTGTATTTAATGTTCTGTTCCTATTAATAGCATTAGGAATGAATAGGACTTGGAGCTCTAAAGGACAACATGACTGATCCTCTAGCTGAAAACAACTAAAAACACTGGATAAAATAAAAATGTAAAAATATTTTTAAAGATTTATTTACTTATTTGAGAGACTTTGTGCGTTTCCGCGCGAGGGATGGGGGAGGGGCACAGGAAAAGGGAGACAAGCAAACTCCCTGCTGAGTGAGGAGCCTGCCTCAGGGCTCCATCCTGGGACCCTTGAGATCTTGACCTGAGCAGAAATCAAGAGTCATGCTCAACCAATGAGCCTCCCAGGTGCTCCTAAAAATAATTTTAAGAGTTAGTAAGGTATAACCAGAGGCCAAAAATCAAGGTGAAAGTGGAAACTAAAAGAGGTAAAAGGAACGGGAAGGTGGCTTTTGCCTTGAGGGAAGGTGGCTTTTGCCTTGAGGGCATTTGTTACGCGGGCAATCTGAATTTAGGTTTTCCTGGCTTTGGTAGAATAAAGAGAATAAAGACAAAGCCCGGGACCTTCCTAAATTAGGAGTGTAATATAAGGTCTTTCTCCAATTAATCTGAAATCCCAAAGAGCTAGGCCTCCATTATAAAAGGTGACCTGGAAATAACCACAACGCTACCCCCATCCTTAGAGACTAAAAGCAATTGTGGTACTTGAACTTTGTACCAAAAGGGAAAAGAAAAATGTCTCCAGATAACTCCTAATCACAAGATAGCTCACATGCATTGAGGCCCAAATGCACACAACCTGGATGGTCCAAAACATCTCAAACTGAAATTTTAGTTTAATGGGGTTTTAGACATCAGCAAATATTGATCTTACCTGTAGGAATCCACCTTTAGCCCAGCCTGCAAATAATTCTCATAGTCTAAGAAATAAAGCTTACATTCAGAAAAGTCTTGCACCCATGGGGAAGAAGGGCACCATAAGTGACAGCAAATTTCGACTAGTGGCAGAGACTAGTGGAAAGGCTTCAGGTACTGGAATTATCAGGCACAGAGTAGAAAATACATTTATTATGTTTTAAGAAATAAAGGAAGGGATTGAAAATATAAATAAAGGGCAAAAGACTCTTAAAAATGTCCAACCGTGTTTGGAAAAGGACCAGATTAAATGGCTACAAACAGAAATTAATGGGATTAATAGAAGATTAGATACAGCTGATAAAATAATAATTAAGAAGATTGAAGAAATTATCAAGAATGAATCACTAGAGAGAAAGAAGAAGAAACAAAGAGAAAATCTTAAGCATAGCCAGAGAAAAAATACTGATGGACTTCAAGTTAGACTGTCAGATGATTCAACAGTGAAAGGCCCAAAGTCACATAGCTAGTAATCGATAAAGCCAGGATTTGGACCCAGAGAGTCTGCCTTCAGAGCCCAGGCACTGAATTACTAACTCTACTGCTTCTGAGTATACTGCTGGGAACTAAATTATTTAAGGAAATATTTAAAAAAAAAAAAAATCGGAACAATGAAGTAGTACACAAATCATTCAAGAAGTTTTGGCTATTTCTAAACTCTTAACTCCTTATAACATATGAATATTCTTAGGTAGCAATTCTCCCCTAGTCCTGGTATCACCAAGATTAATCTGGTGTCTTTTTAAATTTTTCCTCCAAAATCAAGTAGATAATGTGGGACTGACTTCAGTTTTAGAAGGTGTGGGTGGATAGAACTATTGAAAATAATGTTTTTAGCACACTGCCAGTTTAATTATTCCACTAACCTGATTTTAAGCATTTATCATTATCTTTTTGAAAAACTTATAGCTCTTTTCCTGCAGGTGGCATTATTATATTTTCCAAATACTATTTTCCCTTTTTGGGCTCTGGCTAATAATTGCTTAATTGATGTGTGATTTCACCTTAAAATTTTAAATTCAATTTCACTAATATTACCAAATATTTTATTGAGCATATTGGGGATTTCTGTGACAGTCAAAGATATTGTGGTGAGTTTTTAACATCAATTAGCAACTACTTCAAACATACAGGAAAGTTTTTATATGACTTATACCTAGCATCTAGATTCATTGTTAGTATTTTGCTACATTTGCTACCATTCTGTCTTTAAAAAATAAAATAACACCCTTGTAGCCACTGTTTTCTCTCCCTTTCCAGGAGAAATGTCTGTTCTAAAGTTAATGTATGCTTCTTTTCCATTTTTAAAGAACTTTTACTATAAATGTGTGTATCCACAAATAATCTGTGTAATTTTTTTGATCTTAGTTGTATATAATTGTACATTGTGCATACTCATTTGCAACCTTTTTCATTCAACATTATATTGGGGCATTTATATACGTTGATAACTACAGACATAATTCATTCTTTTTAACTTGCCTCTAGAATTCCACTTTCTGAGTGAAATACAGTTTATGTAACTATTCTCTCTTGGAGGTTCGGTTAGGTTCTTCCCACTTTTACATAATTTTAAACAATGGTCCTCTGAATATTCTTATACATGTCTCCTAGAGCACATTGCTGATGATTTCTCTAGGTCATAGAGCAAGAATTTCTGGGTGATAGATTATATGCACTTTCAACTTAACTTTTCCCTATTGGACTGCTGTTTTCTTACAGATATGCAGGATCTCTTTTATTCAGCCAAAAAATACATTTCACACCCAATCTAGTTACCTTGTTGAGGACAGAGCAATGCGGCTTAACTGGGAGTGGAGACAGACCCTGAGGTGTGAGAGGCAGTGGAAAGTCAGGTCACCCAGGACTGTGGGACAATCTAGAGACTGGATTAGACTCTGAGTGATATGGAAAACCACAGGAGGGTGTTGAGCAATGAAGTAGCATAATCTTTCATTTTTAAAGACTCTGGTTAGAATGTTGGGATCTTAGTGGGTCAGATGAGAGCAATCCTCTGGCCAAGAAATCCTAATGCTGCGGGAGAAAATATGAAAACGTCATAAAGGAACCAAGAGTTGACAAGATAGAAAGATTTACTAGGGCAAAATTGAAGGGGAAGAAGCAGTCCTGAATGGTAAACTGAGTTTACACTCATTCTGCCCAGATGACAGTGGCCAGTCAAAGATGATCTTTGGTGTGAGGGAGATGGAAGGCAAAGCCTAAGACTTGTTTCAAGTAAGGAACCTACTAAGACACTCTTCTCTGTTAATCTGGGATTCCCAAAGTGTTACTCCCTCAGCGTAAGGTTGAATGAGCAATAAAGCTAACCCAGCCCTACCCACAGAGGTCTCTAAGGAAAATTTCCTTGACACTGAGCAGAACTGAAGAAAAGAATAAACACTTTCTGAGAGATTATAACCACAAGATGTCCTCACTTGGATTTGCAGCTAAATTTCACATAAGGGGTCCAAGAAAATATCAAGCTGTCATTT